CTCTTGTATAAACACACTCCCTTTTTTTAAAAAAATATAAAAAATGTCTAAATTACCCTTAAAATAAAATAAAATTCCTAAATTTACACCCCCTTCCCCACACTTCACACCCCCCTTCCTCGCACCCTCACACCCCACACCCCCTTTCTTCCTAAAGTGACAAACATTGTAGTCCGCAATTGCACCCACAGTTTCTCTACAGTGGCCAGTCTCTATTGTTCACCAGAAGCACGAGACCCGCCCCAATTGCAGCGAGCGTGGCTGCTGGCACACGCATTGCACAGAAAAAGTGTTCACCATGGATTTGTTGATGAACACTATTTGTTTGAAATATAGTACAATTGTGGAAATAGCAAACCTGTGCAGTGTGTCCTTTCTTGTTACGGAGTCGCGAGAGGTCGACGCCATTGAATGTCATGTTGTTGACGAAAAGCTGGGCTTGGTGGTCATCCCCGCAGGCCCCAATAATTCCGGTGGAAATTCTGAAATCGCGAGTGAGTCCGCGAATTGTGTTGGCGACGCTGCCACCGACGAGAGTTTTGATTGAAGAATTGGATTTAAGCTCCTTCAGTATGTATTCGAGTTCTTCAATGGCAACCTATATGAAGAGGGAATTGAGTTAAGCGCATTATAATTAGTGATTAAGGGAAGAGAAAGGAAAGGCGTAATTGAAAGAGAGATAAAACAGACGGGGATGGAGTCACCGCGTTCGCCGGGAATCTGGTGGAAGGGGGGTGTGAGGGTGCGGGGAAAGGGGATGTGGGGTGCGGGTAGGGATGGCAAATATACCCGTACCCGTGGGTAATACCCGAACCCGTCCCGACTTTGACGGGGAATACCCGGTTTGACCAGGTACGGGTACGGGTACGGGTAAAACCCGATATATTGAATCGGGTACGGGTACGGGTACGGGTATGTACTTACCCGCCCCGTACTCGTACCCGTACCCGTCCCGGGGACGGGGATGGGGATGAAAATCCATACCCGACGGGTATGGGGACGGGGATGGGGATGAGTTTTACTTGCGGGGACGGGGATGGGTATCATGAAACCCGTACCCGCCCCGCCCCGTTGCCATCCCTAGGTGCGGGAAGGGGGTGTAAATTTAAGAATTTTATTTTATTTTAAGGGTAATTTAGACATTTTATATATATTTTTTTTAAAAAAGAGGTGTGTTTATATGAGAGTGGAGGTGTGTTTATCATCTGCCGTCAGTAAATTAGCCATGACTTGGCAAGATTGATGGGCCAATAAGGTAGTCCCCCAATGCCCAATAGTGGGACCATATTTGAAAAAAAAATTCTTAATGGGGATAGTAATATTACTTAGAGCATCTACAATTTAAATGGTTCTCACTGTGTCACGTCACTCATAAGCAACTCATATTATATTTTTACAACTTTTGCTCCAATAAAAATTGCTTATAAGCACCTCAACTTTTTTACAACTCATATTACACTTTTTGACACCTCACATTATATTTTATGATATATTTTTATAAAATTAATTATTATGAATAATATATAAATATGAATAACTAATAATTAAAATAATTTTCATAATTAAAAATTTTCAATAATAAAAAAAATTACATAATAAAAAAAATATCAAAATTTTTAATAATAACTAGAAATTACATAATAAAAAAAAAACCAAAAATTACAATAATAAAAATAAATTTATTAATAAAAAGAAATACAAAAAATTACAATAATAAAAAAATTACATAATATATCAACTCTCTCACTCTCTATTCACGTCTCACTCTCTCTACACTCTATCTTCACTCTCGGTTCACTCTCCCTTCACTCTATTCATTCTCTCTTCTCCCACCGCACTCTCTCTTCACTCTCTCTTCTCCGACCGGCGTGCGGAGGTGGTCTGGGCAGAGGGGTCGCGCGCGGAGGGGTCAAGGGCGGAGGGGTCGCGTGAGGTTCTGGCGGAGGTGGTCGCACGCGGAGCCGCGCGGTGGTTCTGGCACACGCGGTGGTTGCGGAGGTTCTGCTCGCGACTGACGGGGTCGGTCAGGGGTTGCGCGCGCAACTGGGGTTCCGATCAGGGGGTTTCGCGCGGCAGAGGTTGCCACCGGAGGGAGTCGACCAACAACAGTAACAGGTGAGGGAAGTTTTATAGTTTTTTTGGTTTGCAAAACCGTTCCACGTTGGATGACCCTCATCCAATCAAATCTTTTCATTTTCAATTTTACAGGATTAAGAACCGTTGCTTCTGCAAGCAACAAAGAGAAAAATTTAAGAACCGTTGCTGCCACGTAGATTTACTCCAACAGAGATTTCTTGTAAGCACCGTTGCTTACAACTAAGACACGCAACAAGCACCTCTCGCTGGAGGTGCTCTTACAAGAAAAAATAAAAAATAAACAAGGCTAGTATCCAATGAGGATAGCGAAACCATATTTAAAAGAAAAAAAATTGATTTCCCGCTAAGGACACTATTTACAAGAAAAAAATAAAAAATAAACAAACCACTTTAAATTTAAAATTATTAGTCTCCTTACCTCTTAGAGACTCAAATCCGCAAGAAAAAAAAATAAGAGAAACGACTCATTATATTACTAGCTTAAGGTTTATGATCCCAGAGCTCCGACTCGACTTCCTCACCACCTCTTATGATTAGTTGCAAAATAGTAAAGAAGAAAAGGTTCAAGTGAAAAAAAAAAAAAGAAAGGGAGAAATAATGAAAGAAGAAATAATCATCTCTCTAACTTCTTCTAGAGAACGTGTGCTCAAAGTCTATCAACCTTAGAATTCTCAACAGCAATTATCAAATCAAACAATAAAATTATGAAATGATGGTGTTACAAAAATAAATTAATTCAAAACTATTTATTTTAATAATAATAAATATAATTAAATATATAAACATTTTAAACATTTTTTCCTATTGGAATTTTAAAATTACTGATTAATAAAAATTTGTTTGACAATGATATACAAATTAATATTCTATCATATTTAGTGTTAATTGAAGAAATTCAAATATTAATTAATGAAATTATGGTAAGTAAAAAGTTATTTTATTTGAATAAATAATTGAAAAATAACTTAATATTCATTTGATTTAATATAAAATTTATGATACATGTTGAAATATTAAAAAGTTATCTTTAGCATTTACTTGCTCTTCATTTATCGCGACTAACGCCAATGCCATCCGTCATTTGTGTGCAATGTGTTTCAACTGGATTTTCTTCCTTGCGATTTTTTTTTCTGCACAGTTTGAAAATTGATTTAATATTTTGCTTATGGAGCCTGTAGATCCTTAGACTAGCTTCAAGGTGGTCTCATTGAATTCTTGTTTTATCCACAACAGGGGATAAACTTAAGTTTATATCTGATAACCTGAGGGCTAAATGTAAATATAAAATTTACTATGTGAACTGTGGTGCTTACTTTATTTGAGAGTTGGATGCTTTCAAGTGAATAGTGCTGCATTTGATGTTATTCTAGCATTTTGTTATACTCAGGTTATTGACTGGTTGTGAGGATCTTCACTGGTGTTTTTCAATGCAGTGATGATTTTTGGCTTGACGATTTGAAGTTCATGCAATGTCAAGCTTACTTAATGTATTCCCCATGTCCAGCAAAGCAAGAGTATATGTTCAATTGTCTATCTCTATTCGTCGTCAATTTACTCAATTTGAACTGTCATCGCTATCAAATTGTTTTAATCGAGAGCTTTGTGCGACCGAGATCGCAACAAGACAACGAAAATAAAGTAAAAAATATGAATCCGTCAACGATCTTTATTTTTATGAAAAAAACATTAAAAAAATCACGAAATAGAGAATGGTCTACAAAAATTAAATTTTTGAATTCGAGAGTCGATTACATATAAGGAAGGCATCTCATAATGTTCGTTCTAAGACGATTACCTTTAATTAATTAAATAAATTATTTATAATTTATAACATATTTATTTTACCCTAGATTAATTAAAATTAACTATAACAATTAAATGTATTTTATTAACTAATGCATTTATTTTATAAAAATCAAAATGATTATATAAAAAATATAATATTATTTTTTGGCTCGACAAGATTTATTTCCTGTTCTTACGTATTTCCATATGCAATGGAAAATCAGAGTCACGTAATTTTTTTGTAAAAAAGATTTGTGTGTTTATATATATTTAATTAAAATTTATTTATTTAAATTAAATTTAATATTTTTGAACTGTTTGAGCTCATTCACCTAAAAATATGAAATTGACTTAGGTGTACACTAAAGTCAATTCAATAAAATATTTAATTTGAATTATAATTATTGTTATTGATATTATTGTTACTACAATATATACTTAAAAGATATTTTTGGTTGGATATTTTTATTTTGGAGAAAAATTTAAAGATATTAAGTTGTCACAACTTGTATCTTAAATTCAAAGGTTAAAAATATGTCACATTTAATTAATCATTCTTCAAAAAAAATCTTTGATATAATAACTTCGAATATTTATGTTGAATATTGTGGTAATATTTTTTATATTAAATTATATTTTAAAATTTTAATAAAAAAGACTTTAAGATGACAAATTGTCACAATTTGTACCTTTAAACTTTAAAATCAAGAGAATGTCACGTTTAAATAATCCTTTTTTAAAATGATAGACATCACTAATATAAATGAAGAATCTCATAGTAATTATTATTATTGTTTTTTTTAGGGGATTATTATTATTATTATTATTGTTATTATAGTAACTATTACTATGATTATAATTATAAGTATTATATTTATTATTATTATTAATATTATTATTATTATTATCTACCTTTACGTAATCTTTATTTCGCTTTTCATAAGACTTGATTCCTCTTTTACAAGACTACTTACTTTTGTAATTTGCTTACGTTAACAAATGAAAGGTAATAATATTTAAGTGACAGGAGAAAGGAAAAAATAAAAAGAAATGAATATACAAAAGGAAAATAGAAAATGATTCAGCAGAGAAGGAGAAAAGGAGGGGTCTCATCAAAGCAACGTACGAAAGGAAAAAAGTAAAGAAGAAGAAGTGACGCAGTAGAGAATAAAGGAGGAAAAGATGGATCTCGTACGAAAAGATAAATAAGAAATGATGCAGTAGAAGATAAAGGAGAAAAAGAGATCGCACAAAAATTCTAGGGTGTTCGTGAAAAAGAGAAAATGCAGAATATAAAGGAAGAAAAAGAAAGATCAAACGTTAGGTTTACCGGAGAAGCTCTACGGGAAAGAAAAATGTGTTGGGTTCCTTTCGTATGCTCTCATATGGATGAACTTGGAGAGTGCTGGAGTGAGATGAAAAAATAAACAAACAGCTCCAATGACAATTCAATATACTCACTATTTTTCACTCAAGAAATGATAAGAAAAGAGAACGGAGGTGTAGTTTTCCTTTTCTTCCTCCCCTTCTTTTTTCTTTTTTTTTTCTTCCCCTTCTTCCCTTCTCCTTATAAGAAGAGAATGTGTAGAAGACCAAAAACCATGCTGCCCAAGAGTGATAACTAGCTTAGTTTGTAGTCCCAAAACCACTCTACGCACATGTCACAAAAGCCAAATTGCTTATACTAAAATAGTAACTGTAAAAGACAAAGAAAAAAAAGTCATACTAGCCACAATATAAAAAACATGTCCGTTGATACAAAGAGAGATTTGACTTCCTTGTTCTTTGTCTTTTATGATTCTTTCCTGTATATATATTGTTAGAGTTTAAAATATGGGCTGTAAAATATTTTTATTCTTGAATCATTGATTTGAAAATTAGTAGAAAGATTAGTTGAACAAAATTGGTGTATACAATTTTGATTCATTTTCATTGAATATGTATATATAGTTTTAATTTCTAGGTTGAAGTATGTGACCTTTTTCTTTTAAGTTTGAAGTTCCTGCTTGTATTTTTTCTTTAAATTCAAGTTTAATCACCTTGTCAAGTTTTTGGACTCATAGTTAGTGCTAACTGTTCTCTGCTTGCAATTTACTGGTAGTTGCCTCTTTATGTATGGTTAGCATATGGTTGATTGTGTGCATGTTGGATATATCACATGGAATTAGAAATTTTTTTTTGTAAGTTTTCATATTTTGCTGTTGTTGTAGTTGTATCTTGTAAGATATTGATTTCCACTTCTAGCACATGTCTATCTTTAATGTAAATTTTAATAGAGTTCTGTTTGCATTCTTCTTTGAATGGGTCTGCTTCAAATCTTCTAGATGGTGTTGGATGGCCCTTTGCTACGACATTCTCTGGTCAGTCTGGTGTAGCCTCCACAATTTTTCATAACTCTAGTGGGAAAATTTGCTAAAGCCAATCCTTTCTATCTTCTCCTTTAGTTATATAATTGTCAGGTTCTTGTTGCAAGTTCAATTCAGGGATTGCACAACATTCATGGGAGCTTTAATGTACCCAACATGCCCAATACACTTGCATCAAGAAACTTAACAATAAATAGCGTTCTAACTAGGGGAACTCAACAACCTTCGGCAAGCCTTTCTAATGGAAGATTTGCATCAAATAATCTACTTGTTGCGCTCTCACAGGTGAATGCATTTGTGTTTGAACATCTTGAGAGTAATACATGAAATTTTAAGCATATTTAATTATTCTTTTTGTCATTTTGTTTTTGTTGGTGTATAACTTGAAATTTTTATTTGTCTATCGATCATATTTGCAGCTATCTCACGGAAGCTCCCATGGACACTCAGGAGTCAACAGTAGAGGAGGTATAAATGTTATAAGAAATCCTGGATTTAGTAGTAGCACAGATGGAGTTGCTGGTCCTATTCCTAGGATTCTCCCAACTTCTGTTGCAATTGGTAACCGAAATACTGTTCCAAGATTGGGACTGTCCCTAATTTTGGGAAATGCAGGTCCTCGAATCACTAGTTCGATGGGAAACATGGTTGGTGGGGGGAACATTGGGAGGATAAGCTCTGGAGGATTGTTTATTCCAGGTCTTGCTTCATGTCTAAATTTAAGTGGAAACACTAGATCTGGTGGTTTAGGCCTACAAGGACAAAATCGATTGATGAATGGTGTGCTTCCGCAAGGTATGTATCTTGGTAGTCACAAGCATTGAAGTGGTGTTTAGTTGAGGTTTTCTTCAAAAGGCTTTGAATTTTGATATTAAAGTGATGCATACTTTGGTTGTATATTTCTTTTAAGTATCATTATATTTTATCCAGCAAAATATTTTTTACTACCTGTTTTTTTAAGGATGAATTTTTCATATCATGCTAATTTGGTTATCTTAGATGCAATTTTATTTGTCTAATTTATAGCATTAGATAACAAGTTGTTTGAGCACCTTGAAATTAGTCATTTGTAACATTCACTAGCCAACATAATGTTCCTTCAGCTGTGATCATTGGGCATCTTTTTCTCAAATTATTTCCTTTATTAATTTTCTTTATATTTGATTTTGATGACTATAAGTATTTTGTTCAATTTGTCTCATGTGAAATTAATGTTATTAAATATCAGTTCTTGCGGCACAATAATGGTATGACTTAGTGGGTTTCACTGGAAACACAATCAAGATGGTGTGGGGAGGCCGCAAGAAACGCCATTGTATTATTGAGAATTTTCTTAATCCGGTCCTTTCTCTTTAAAAACTTGACCGACAAATATATTTTGAGTCGATTAAATTCATTGAGAAAAATGAGGTGATTAAGTCATTTGAGTTATAGTATTTTTAAAAGCACAAGAACAGTGTTAACAATTCACCTTTTGATATATTTTTTAATACATTAATGTTAGATAAAGTTTATTAATATCACAAGAAAATGTTAACTAATTTATGAAAACATGTTTAATATTTCATTTGGTTGTCCTTATTATTTTTCATTTGGTTGTTTGTTCTTGCTAGTGGCCATCCAATGTTTGTAGCAATTGCTTTTAACTTTTAAAGCTCTATTTCAGAGACAAACTTGTCGAAATTTGATGATCAGAGAAATTCAACTAAATGCCTAGTGTCGATAGTCAGATGTTCCACTTCGTTTCTTGATTTTTTTTCACAAAGGAGACTACTATTTACTATTATGATTTATTTTCACGTTATTAGCATTAGCCATTTGTTGAGATATACATTTGGAAGTCCCACTTTAGTTGGATATAGTTCGATCTAGCCAGGTACTTTTAAATTGAAAAAAAAGGGAATTAGGGGAATAAGCTTAGCAAGTTCTAAATCGCATACATTTTCTTATTATACTCACTGTTTAGTAGCTCAGAATCTGAAAAAGCCGAGACTGAAAAAGACTTGGACTTGCTTTGCAATGAAGATTTTCGTACGTTCCTCAAATTTGAGGCCTCAATGCGATGCCTAATGACCCAGTAACACATAGTTCCCAAGGTCGTAGCCATTATGGTTGCCCCTATAATGGTGACTCCTATGGCCAACCACTTCTCTTCCTTCCCCACCACTACAAACGACAAAGCCAAGAAGGCCACCGAAATAAGAACACAAGCCAGCCACATTAGCTTGTTAATCACAGCCATCATCTGCTTCTTTGCCTTGCTTTCTATAACCACAACCGAAGTTTGCACCACCACCACCGCTAAAGAGATGAACAATGCAATGGAATCAAACACAAAGAAAATGATGAATGAGGCTTGTGGGGCTATGTTTGCCTCACCAAGTGACATCCCTGGAGGAATGTTGTTAGGGTCATCAACAAATTGGCCGGGGACCGTGAATATAGCAGCAAATGCCACCGTGGCAATTAGCACTGCCACCACAGTTGTGGAGTTGATTGCGTTGTTGAGTCCTTCAACATGCATTTTGTTGATGCGTTTGGCAATGCCTTGGACTCGTTTTCTGGTTTGGCGTGTGTGTTCCAACTGGTGGTGGACTTCGTGCTTTATGTCACTCACCGTTTGTTTCAACTCACGGGCTGTAGTAGCCGTTGTGCCCTTCTGGGGCTTTATGGTCCTCGCATTCTGAACACCATGTTCCAGTAGAATGACTTTCAAATCATGGTTCCCTGTTTTCTCAGCAGTGTCTAATGCTGTTTCACCGCACCTATTCACGGCATTTGTAGCCGTTTCCTTTTGTTCCAGAAGCAACTTCACAATCTGCACTAACAAAATAATAATCAAGACATGTTAACATCCATTACAAATATGTGCTAAATCTCCTTGATTCTTTTAACATATCCATTGGTATCACAAACAAACACATAAGTACCAAATGTGTAACTCAAGATGCTTCTTTAGGAACAAATCATTCAAGCTGATAGCTCTACCAAATATCAATTACTAGAGAATACTGTCAAAACTTTTATGGAGAGGCAAATTATAGAAAATAACACATTCATCTATAACAAGGATGGTGATCTAATCACAACATTATATAACATGAAGCTTATGAGTAACTTTTGATGGCCTAGTTTACCTGAGCTCTGCCCTTCCTAGTTGCTATATGCAATGCTGTGTTTCCCTTACTATCAACCATGTTTATTGATGAGGGATCTCCATTGATCAACTCCTCTACCACCTCAAGATTCTGCCCCTTCACTGCCATGTGAAGTGCTGTCTGTCCCTTCTTGTCGGTTCTTGTTGCAACCCCAGGCTCCTTCTCAAGAAGTGCCTTCACAACCTCTAAATGTCCATTTCTTGCAGCAGAATGAAGTGCTGTTTTACCATTACTTCTAGCAATGGTTGCAAGACTACTCCCTGCCTCCAATATGAATTTCACTATCTCAGTGTGCCCTTGTAATGCAGCTGTGTGCAAAGCTGTGGTGTTGGATGGATCCACAGTCATTGACAACTCAGGATGACCCTCCATAAGGATCTTCAGCACATCTAAGACAAGCCAAAGAGAACTTAGACACCTCTTAAAATTAAGGATTAATTATGCTTTTAGTCTTGAACAATGTTTTTACAAAATTTAGTCGTCAAACTTTTGTCGATTTTTACTTTTTAATGAAGAACTTTTTCATCCGTTAAGAATTTGATTCTTGGCATCAAATTTTTTTTGTTCATTGTTTAAAAATTTCAGAAACTAAAAACAAATAAAATTTATTCAAAAAATAAAAAAAATTTTGATAAACTAAAAACATATTTAATCTTGAAATCAAACAAGCAAATATTATGAGATAAAGCTAAGCAACCACATTATTACCTAAATCCCCTTGTTTGGCAGCAATGTGCAATGCATCAAAACCATTTCTGGCTTTAATTCCAGCATCAGCAAGATCATAATACGGAATCATCTCCCTGACCACATCAACATAACCATACTCAGCAGCAATATAAAGGGGTGTTTCTCCATCTTGGTTCTGCTTGGCTAATAATTCACGTAATGCAGCCTCATTCGTTCCCAAAATGGTTTCCTTCAACACAGCCAAATTCCCTGCTCTTGCTGCAGAATGCAAGGGCGTATCATCCCTTTTTCCTGTTAATTGTTTTGTCATTTTCTTCCTTGGGGCGATTATTGGCGGCAGCGATGGTGTTGCCATGTTGGCTTCTTCACCTACCAATCAAATTCAACTCTTTTGATGATAATAATTACTCTTTCAATTTCAAAACCTTCTTTTCTTCCTTCATCCCAAATCCCATATCAAAGCTAGCATCTTTTCTTCCTCAGCAACTCAACGGGGAGAATCATCCCAATTATTGTCGAATAAATTTTCTTTTTTAATTTCTTATCTCTCAAAAAATCTCATACTTCTGTTCTTCCAGTGTCTGTTCAAAAAACAAAAAAGTTAAAAAAAACATTGTACCTAGATATGTTATTGCTATCTTATTGCATTATCGATGTCTTTAAAAGAGAGATTCTAAAGAAAGCAAACCCAAGCACCAGAATTTGAAAAAAGAAAAAACAAGTAATTATTGGTGGTTTCAAGTATTCCTTGAATAATTATTAATTATACCAAAGAAAAAGCTTGAAAATGAAATTGACCTGAGTTTGAAGAAAGAAGCTCAACCATGAAAGCCATGGATATGTGAGATTTGAGGGAAGCTTTCAGGAAGGAATGAGCTTGGCAGCATACCCTGTTATAATGAACATTTATGATATATAATAAGGTGTGCAAAAGTTATATGTAAGTTGGAAAGAGAATAAATATTGTGGAGGAAGAGACAAAGGTATTAGAAGGAAGCAAGGAAGGATTAAGAAATGAAAGTTATGAAAGACACATGTAAGCAGCAAAAACAACAACTTTATGGCAATCTAAATCAGGGGCAGATCCTCATACACGCACCAACCTCACCCATAATGGAGCAACTTTTGCAAAGGTTCTGATGATGTCGGATTTAAGACCAGAAAATGAATAGAAAATAAATAAATAAATAATGTAAACACATATATTTGAGAATCAAATATAGCCTAGGCATGAAGGGAGCATATGAGATGAGAGAGAGAGAAAAGCTAAACTTGAAGAAAAACGGAAATAACAACCACGCGCAATTGGATTTCTAGTGGCGCGAGTGAAGATATTGTCAATTTCCCATGAAACAAATTTTTTTTCTTCTTATATAAAATGTATAACAATTCCTATAACGTCAAAGAGATATTTTTTTTTTTGTTCGTCCTCGGAGTATTTACCGCTGACAGCAGTGACTAATCTCCTCGCTATGTTAGAGGCACCTCAAAGGGTAGGATAGCTGGTCCCAAGATTTAACGCGGCTGCATACATAAAAATAAAATTAATGATAAAGATAGACATAAAAATAAAATTATCTAATTTATTATAAAAATTTTATTTTACAGGTTACATTATTTTTTTTCTTTTACATATTTCAATTTTGAGTAATGGTAACAATATAACTATACAAAATTGATTTTACAATTTACTTTATATGTTGCTTTTAAAATACCCAAGCTCCAATTTGTTTTCTCATTTTTTTTGGACAATGAACAGTTTTTCGGATTTTATTTTAGCATAGATGTGTTCCTTATTTATATTTTTCCTTGTTGTGTTCCTTATTTATATTTTTTCTTGTTTTTCCTCTTGCAATTACAATTTTTTTTTTTTTGAATTATCATGACTAATTTTCATTGAAAAAATTTAATTATCTTTATCAGAGCTTCTCCTTCTTTTCACCCTTTTTCACATATGCGGTATATATGTGAAATTAATACTCGAAAATCTTATTAAAGAGATCCAAGTTGAATTATTTAAACCATATATATAGTCAACAAACCATGAAGCCACTAATTTAAATTGCAAAAGGAGGAACAGCTTTTGGGTAAGCGTTTTCACTTTAATTAATTGCATGACCTAATAAATTCTTTAGTTATACTCCGGGATTCACAATGAGGTAAAACTCGGCAAGTGAAAGAAATGAGTTATTCTACACTGCTGATGATACACATAAGCATTCAGATTCCTGTATTTGCCACCATGTGCTATCATGAACAAATTAAATGGTGCACAGTTTACGCACTTTCTAGTTTCTACCTTTCTTTGATTGATTGGAATCGAATAAATGTTATGTTTCCTTCAATCTATAAAGTGATCCAATATTGGCGTTTTCTTTTCTTGTCTTCTATCATTGTTACTATGAAACGCATTTTGAAGATGAGTGACGGTGGGAATTATGAAAGATTCACACATATAGGTATCGATTTTATTTTTAATTTTATAAATCTAGCAGTTAAATTAAAAGTTTTTTATTTTTAAATTATATATATAATTTTATATTAATTTAAGATAATTTAATATTTTATTTTTATAAAACTAAATTAATATAATATATATTTTAAAATATAATAAAATATAAA